TTCCTTAAATTAAAGCTTAAAATTATATAATTTTATAGATTATAACCAATGAGTTTAAAAGTAGAAGCCAAAACACTGCCCTGTATCTTTACTATTTTTGCTACAAAGTACCTGGAAAGTGGTTTACTAAATCATATAGAAAAATGTAAAACCGAAGAAAGACAATAGTAGCGAAATGCATCGGCTAATGCAGCAACAAAAAAACTAACAGAATTGGCTAAATATTTTTCTGAATTTACCCCATTCGTTGAATCACTTAAAAATTACTCTTTATGTGAATGGTATTATAACTAGATTGTCGCCAAACCTTCTTTTATTAAACAATTAACAAACGAATCAGGTTTTTTAAATTTAGATAAGAACGAAAGAAAAAGGTTAAAACTCTCTAACGATAATGAAAAAAATTTTGCTGATTTTGGCGTACAAGTTGAACCAACTTCCGTCGACTTTGAAGTTCAAGTATCTTTGTTAACTATCAACATTGGAGTTCAAGTATCTTTGCTGACCGTTGACTTTGAAGTTCAAGTATCTTTGCCGAACGTTGACTTTGGAGTTCAAGTATCTTTGCCGGATCTAAAATATGAAATTCTTTTAGAACAAATTAGTAAGCTAGAAAGTACTAATGCACAATTGTTAGCTGAAAATAAAGCATTAAAAAAAAAGGTATGCGAAAGATTTACTAACCAACAAGATCATATTAAGTCTATTATAGAAATTGCCAAAAAGGAACGAAATAATTTGTATGAAGATATAGAAGGTTTGGTGAAAAATCCGAAACGATTTTCTTTGGATAGTTTTCTGGAATATTCTTCTTCCAAATGGCTTGTAGAACGAAATCCAGTTGTTGTAAAGTTTATAGAAACTCTTACTCATAATGAAAATGAACAACAACATAGAGAAAAGCTTTTTAAATATGCTGTAGCCGTTGATGCTATATATGGATCAAGGCACTTGAAATATGTTTCTGCAATCAATTTGGCTACTTTGGCTATTAAGTATTCGTTAGCAAGGTCAAAAATGATTGTAGATATTGATAATCATATTATTAGTTCCGATAGCTATTCAAAATTTACTAACTGGCTAGAAAATTTAGCTATAGAACAGCCACCACTTCCTGATGGTCTTTTATTTTTGGCTTTCGACAATGAGCAAAAAGGCCAAAAAAATTATTTGAATCATGGACATAATATGGTTATATTCCATACTGTTATGAGTTTTGTTGCTTTTAATTATGATTAAAGCAACAATATTCAAACTATGAATCCCTGGCTATATTCTGAATCTACCCAAAAACAATATGAAGAATTATTCTACTTAACATTGGGTATGAAAGATGCAATTTATGAAGAACTTACTAACTATCTTTTAGTTATTTTAGAAGAACTTCTTCTCAAGAAAAATCAGGAAACAAATGCAATTGACAACTTGGTAAACTCTTAAAGCCAGATAGGAAATATGAAAAAATGCTGTTTTTGTCAAGTCTCCGATATCGATAATAAGAAGCGGGTTTGTCCTAATTGTCATAATAAATTATCTACAATTAGTGAAATGAATCAACAATTTATTGAACAATCTAATATTAAAAATACTACTGACAAGCTTCTAGTTGTTTGTCCTTATAGGTTTAAAGAATTAAATGTGCAAGAATCGGTTCTAAAGGTTCACGAGCCACAAATGTTTATTCCTAATCTGATAGGAATTAATCCCAATTTGATCACTAATATTCGAAAAGTTCTTGAGCATATCGAAAAAGCATCTGGAGTTAAAGACAATAGGCGTAAATAGATCGCGGTTACATGTGATGGAGTGCCATATCATCATATACTGAAAATAAAAAAAGATTTTCCTTGGCTTATATTAATTCCAGGTGCTCTTCATAAAGAAATGAATATGTTAAAAGTATTCGTCGAGTTGAATTAGGATATTGATATGAAAAATTTTGCTTATTGTCAAAGGTATCAAACTGAAAATTAACTTCAGTTCTTCAAAAAATATTCGGTTCATCACAAATCGTAGGATTCAGTATGTAATATATACAGGCATGCAATGGCATCTGAATTGATGTGGCCATATGTTATGTATGAAGAAAACCCATCTGTCAAAGATTATTTAAAATGGGCCCAAGAACAAACAAATCCTATGTATAAATTAAAGTATGAACAAATCTTTCTTTATTTGCAAACAATTATTAACTTTCGTGCTAGAGTTCGTTTTAATAGGTCTTTACTAAAACTTGCGGCTAGAAGAACGTTTGCGCCTATTTGGTCTGCTCGATAGCATCCAATTTATCGATTAATCGAGGTTTATGATAAAGAGCAAATGTTACGATTGAAGCCTGAAGTTTTCAACTTAATCCAAGAGAGAATCATAACTTCACAATCCAACATGAAACTTCCACGTACTTTGATTTAACCCAAATAGAACTTCCTCCTCACACGTAATTGTTGTATTCCTCATTCGTCATATCATAACTCGAGATCTTCCAAAAATGGAAATATAAACAGTGCTGATCTTTTGCAGTCAGAAATTTTTCTAAATTTGGTAACTAACAATCGCACTTTATTTAGTAATAATCACTAGTCGAATTATTCTAAACTTCTTTTCCAGATTGTTCTACATACTAACATGATTGGCCAATCAAATCGTGACCTATATTAATTCGTGCTGCCAAGAAAAAAGAACACCTCCGTTTTTTAATCAATTATTGAATCAATAATTGATTAAAAAACGGAGGTGCCCTTTTCCCTTGGCAGCACTCATTTGACCTTTTCGTAATACCGAGTCTGTTATATTTCACCAATTTTTTAAACAATTTAATAGATCCTGGGTCCAGTACACGCCCAGAGGTTATATCGTGAAAAGAAAAAAAATTATACATAGTCTACCTTTCTTTCGCTTAACGTCAATTTTATAGAAATTTTAAATTTTAATTTTTTTTTTTTTGATCTTTTTTACAGCTTTTCGAATGAAGACGATCTGAGATCCTGAAGACACTAGTGCAAAGATAAGTATATTAATTTCTATTTTCTTTTCTGTTTCACTTTTTTTTTTTTTTTTTTTTTTCTTTTTTTTTTTGCTAACTTTTTTTTCTTATAGGTCACCGGGAACTGCGAATTTGAAATGGGATAATGGAGATCTAAACCCGGATGCTAAAAATTGGTATAAAGTATACCAGTTTCTATTTTTTTTTGGTTTACTTTTTTGTATTCTCTTGCTAATATTTTTTTTCTCCTGTAGATCACCAGGAACTGCGAATTTGAAATACAGAAATAAGGCATAGTGATCTGAACCGTGTGGAAATATATAAGCATCAGTTTCAACTTTTTTTTTGCTTTTTTTTTTTATTTTTTTTTTGCTAACACTTTTCTTTGCAGCTTCGTCACCAGGAATGAAAATCTGAACTGGGTGAGAAATTGAAACTGGTATATGAGATAAGTATCAGTTTCAATTTTTCTTCTCTTATTTGCTTTTTCTTTTTTTTTTCTTCTACTAACACATTTCTTTTGTAGCTTTATCACCAGGAATAGAGATCTGGACTGGGTGGGAAACTAAAACAGACATATAAATACCAGTTTTAGTTTTTTTTTCATTTGTTTTATTTTCTTTTTTTTCGCTTTATTGATTTTTTTTTTTCTTTTATAGCTTCGTCTCTGGAGACGTGAAATTGAACTGGAAATGAAGATTCAGACAGGTGAGAAGCTAAAACTGGTATATAAAATGAGTATTAGTTCAGTTTTTATTCACTTTTTTTTAATTCTTTTTTTTTTGCAGCTTCATCATCGGGAATACGAAACTGAGCAGGAAGTTGAGATCTGAAGCAGAAGAGAAAACTGGTATATAAGATAAGTATCAGCTTCAATTTTTCTTTTCATGTTATTCTATTTTTTTTTAATACTT